CGGGGGACATCGATTCCGAAAGGGCCATGTTCCGCGCCTCCATTGTGGAGGCGGCTGACCGGAGCTGTGGCCGTAAGGTGGTCAGTGCTTGTCGCGGCAGCAATCCCCGAACCCGATGGTGGACACCGGTGGTGAGGGATGCCGTCAAGCTGAAGAAGGAGTCCTATCGGGACTTTTTGGCCTGTGGGACTCCGGAAGCAGCTGATGAGTACCGGCAGGCTAAGTGGAACGCGGCTTCGGCGGTCGCTGAGGCAAAAACTCGGGTATGGGAGGATTTTGGCGAGGCCATGGAGAATGACTTCCGAACGGCTTCGAGGAGATTCTGGTCCACCATCCGGCATTTCAGGGCGGGAAAGCAGTGCAGCATCAACACTGTTTATGGTGGGGATGGTGCGCTGCTGACCTCAGCTCGGGACGTTGTGGGTCGGTGGAAGGAATACTTCAAAGACCTCCTCAATCCCACTGACACACCTTCCAATGAGGAAATAGAGTCTGGGGACTTGGGGGTGGACTTACCTATCTCTGGGGCAGAGGTTGCTGAGGTGGTTAAAAAGCTCCTTGGTGGCCGGGCCCCGGGGGTGGATGAGATCTGCCCGGAGTTCCTCAAGGCTCTGGATGTTGCGGGGCTGTCTTGGTTGACACGCATCTGCGGCATTGCGTGGACATCGGGGGCGGTGCCTCTGGATTGGCAGACCAGGGTGGTGGTCCCCATCTTTAAGAAGGGAGACCGGAGGGTGTGTTCCAACTATAGGGGGATCACACTCCTCAGCCTCCCTGGTAAGGTCTATTTGGGGGTGCTGGAGAGGAGGGTCCATCGGATAGTCAAACCTTGGATTCAGGAGGAGCAGTGTGGTTTTCGCCCTGGCCGTGGAAGAGTGGTCCAGCTCTATACTCTCGGCAGGGTCCTGGAGGGTGCGTGGGAGTTTGCCCAACCAGTCTACATGTGTTTTGTGGACTTGGAGAAGGCATTCGACCGCGTCCCTCGGGGAGTCCTGTGGGGAGTGCTCCGGGAGTACGGGGTGCCGGGGTGCCGGACTGCCTTATAAGGGCTGTTCGGTCCCTATACGACCGGTGTCAGAGCTTGGTCCGCATTGCCGGTAGTAAGTCGGACTCATTCCCGGTGAGGGTTGGACTCCGCCAGGGCTGCCCTTTATCACCGATTCTGTTCATAAGCTTTATGGACAGAATTTCTAGCCGCAGCCAGGGCATTGAGGGTGTCCGGTTTGGTGACCTCAGGATTAGGTCTCTGCTTTTTGCAGATGATGTGGTTCTGTTGGCCTCATCAGACCATGACCTTCGGCTCACACTGGAACAGTTTGCAGGCGAGTGTGAAGCGGCTGGAATGAAAATCAGCACCTCCAAATCCGAGACCATGGTCCTCAGCCGGAAAAGGGTGGAGTGCTCTCTCCAGGTTGGGGAGGAGGTCCTTCCCCAAGAGGAGGAGTTTAAGTATCTCGGGATCTTGTTCACGAGTGAGGGAAGGATGGAGCGGGAGATCGACAGGCGGATCGGTGCGGCGTAAGCAGTGATGCGGGCGCTGCATCGGTCTGTCGTGGTGAAGAAGGAGCTGAGCCAAAAGGCAAAGCTCTCGATTTACCGGTCGATCTATGTTCCTACCCTCACCTATGGTCATGAGCTGTGGGTAGTGACTGAAAGAACGAGATCGCGAGTGCAAGCGGCCGAAATGAGTTGATTTCTCTGCAGGGTGGCTGCAAGAGCAGACTGCAAGATGCTGAAAGAAGTCTCCAAAATCATGGACATACAGGAAGCTCTTGCCACAGTTGATGTCAAGGTACATGCATCTACCATCAGAAAGAGACAGTACAAGTAGTTTGATTTACATGGGAGGTGTGCAAGGAGAAAACCCTTGTTGTCAAAAAAAAATAATCAGTGCAAGACTGAAGAGACCAAAGACCACCTAGACAAAGACCAGGACTTTTGGAACAATGTTCTTTGGACAGATCAATCTAAAATTGAATTATTTGGAATTGGTTACAAAGGACATGTTTGGTATAAACCAAATACAGATTTTGAGCAAAAGAACTTCATACCAGCTGTTTTAAGCATGGGGGTGGAAATCACATGGTTTGGGGCAACTTTGCTGCAGCAAGACCTGGCCAGCTCACCATCATATGAATTCTTAATCATATTAGAGGGTGCTTAAGGACAATGTGAAATCATCTGTCCAGAAGCTGAATTGGGGGTGGACCATATAACATGACAATGACCCAAAAACATTCCAGTAAATATACCAGGCTTAGAAGAAAGAAATGGAAAGTTCTGGAATAGCCAAGAGCCTGGATCCAAAGCCTGGATCTGATTTTTATTGTGATGCTGTGGAGTGATTTCAAATGGGCCGTGCACGCGAGATACCTTTCAAACATCACACAGCTAAAGGAATTCTACACTGGAGAATGGGGAAAACGTTCTGCCGGCAAATTTCAGAGAGTGATGTATGGTTTCAGAAATATCTGATTGAGGCTATTTCAGCCAAGGGTGTACATACTAGCTACCAGGGCTATTAGATGCAATTACATCACCTTTATATATATAATATATAATTTGAAACAAGATTTAATATCTATATGTTGATATTTCTTAATAAAGTACTAAATATTTAATGGGTGTCAATTTTTTCACATGACTGTACATTTCATGAGTGTTGGGGTAGTTTGCAAACCCTACCGACTATTTACAAGGTAATAAAACTGTTACATACATGGTAATACGTGTGCAGACTTATTACTAACAATAAAAATATAAATACAACATGGTGTGCACATCTGCAAAGTACATGGCTTGACTGAAGAACTATGAATGTTTCTGTGAACGCATATGCAGAGTGCACTTGTGCAGAGAAGTACGAACCAGCCTTTAGGTGATGCCCTACTAGATTTGTTACCTGCATTAAGCAGGGACTTACAATTTTACATAATCAGTGAAAGAATAATCATGTGTCAGAAGCAAGAAATGTCCTTGAGAGAAAACTAACCAGTTCCTCCAGGTAGGCCAGGGATGCCAGGCTGTCCCTTGTCCCCTAATTCTCCTGGAAGTCCAGGCAGACCTCGGCCTCCAGGAAAGGCCCCCATGGTTTCCCCGGGCAGTCCCTTGTCCCCCCTGAAGCCCAGCAGACCAGCTTTCCCTTGGGTCCCGGGACGGCCATTTTCACCTGGCTGTCCTCTGGCCCCTGCATCTCCTCTGGGCCCTGGGAAACCTAACCAGTAAAACAGGATGGAAACATGCCCACCTTTATACAATATCGAAGGACTGTTCTTCCATTAGGCTTTAAATCATTTATTTAGTTAGCAGATCCGAAGCAACACTAATTTTGTGAAAGCAGATACAGCAATCCCTGGAGAAACTGATGGCCTTGCTCAAAGGTCCATCACTGAAATCACTGCTAACCATGGGACTTGAAACGACAACCTTCTGATCACAGGCACACCGTCTTAACCCACTGAGGCACACACTATCTGTATACATACAGCAAAGTAATTACATATATGTAATGGAACAACGCTCCGGTACACCGATTCAGACCTCTGTCTCCTTCGTGAGAGGCGGGGATATTCACCACTATACTAACAAGGAGATTTTTAATGCCGTGAATGTTTTGAAAAAGTAATTTACATCAGAAATTGACAAGGAAGGCCCTGACCTTTTTGCATTTCATACCTTTTGGTCCAGGCTGACCTCCAAAGCCTTGGTCTCCTCTCTCACCCTTCGAACCATCAAACCCTGGTCGGCCCACTGCCCCAGGGAAACCAGGCTGACCTTTCTGACCTGGGAGGAAATGGGACGCATTTGGTGATGGACAAGTCTTATTTTACTATATGCATAATAAATCTTTAGATGGGTAAGGAAGTCTGTGCTGGGCGTTACCTGAATTCCCAGGAAATCCGGGAGGTCCTGGGTCACCGTCCTCACCTGAGATCAGGCAGGGTAGCGGCATTCCTGTCAACAGGAATTCAACAGGTTTCGGCGTTCAGAAACTCCAGGTCACATCTGCTGGATTCCAGCAATTATGTATTTATTGCATGGCTATAATAATTCATTTCCATTTGTGTTATTCAAACAGACTGAATTAGAACACATGTATGGAAAGAATTAGTTGACCAGATGTCCCACTTCCTAGGTAATGTGAAGGAACAGTTATTTCCCACACCACAGCTTATCTCTAATAGGCCCTATCATTTTCATGCAATATTACTACCACAACTTACAACACAGGATGGGGTTTCCATGAAGCAGGATTTCTCAGTTGGGTTAACTAAGCTAGAACTTATGATTGTCCGATAGGAATGTTCCATATCTAAACTCTTACTGGACAATCATGACTTCTAGCCTTAGTTAACTCAGCTAACAGAAATCCTGCTTTGTCGAACACCCCCTGTTTTGTAACAGAGTTAAACTGTATTAAGATCCTGGGGCCAGTTGCACAAAACATAAAACAAAGTATGGTTCCTTCCAGCCTTATATAAACAATTTAGGCTGGTAGCAGTTGTGTAGTGGTTGTGAGGGATATTTTCTTGAATACTTTGGGCCCCATAGAGCCAAATGAACATTGTTAAAATGCCATAGCTTGTCAGATTATTTTTGTTGACCATGTCCAACCCCTTTATGACCACACTGTTAACAGCTTCTAATGGTTACTTCCAGCAAGATAGTATGCCATGTCACAAAGCTCATATCTCAGACTGGTTTCTTGAACATTACAATAAGTTCCCTGTACACAGTCACCAGGGTTGCCCAAAATACCTTAAGTTAAATTTAAGTTTTCTTAAAATAAAGTCAGCTGCAGAAAACACCCTTAAGTCTTCTCTTTAAGGATACCTTAACATGTTCACTTAAGTATTTAAGTTTTTCCCCTTATCTTGGCCCTATTCTTAAGGAATCCCTTGAAGTTCCCTTAATGGTTACATAAGACCTTAACAACAAAAATAAGGAGAAAAACTTATCTGACTGTATCTTAACCGCAACATGGCTGAGTTTATGCCGATAAATGAAGAAAATTAATTCATCCTGAGAAGAGTGTCCTGCGACTGGGAGTACCCAGTGAATACGATTAATGATGATCAATTGATTTTATCTAACCGAATTTTATTTATACGACCCACTAATAACTCCGGAGGGCAAAGAAACAAATGGTTTCCATGGAAACAGTACAATTTTACTGCTGTACAATGTCTGTCAATGCAGTAAATCCCTTAAGATTTTTTTCTTAACTAACACTTTTAATGGATTATGTGCAACACCCTTAAACAAATAGCTCAGCAAAGGAGAAATTAAACCTTAAATGTCTTGTGGAACCGGCCCCTGGTGCTCTAATTTTCCTGCACATAAACCCTAATGAAAGTGATCTGCGCTATGAAAGCTCTATTAGTTGTGCATACAGAAGAAAAACTACTTGCAGGAACACCTGTCAGGGACCTACTGTTACAAGCATTAGTATTGTTATTGGCTTCATTAGCATCTAATTATGCTAAAGGTTGATTTATACTTCTGTGCAAAATCTATGCGGTTGGTAGCTGTGCACCCTTCAACGTAGCCTGACGCCTATTTTTGGTGAGGTGGGCATCAGGATATGGTGTAGGGTACTGTTATATGCAGAGCCCGTAGTGCACTTGTTGTGTGTGTACGTGTGTGTTCCTTTGCAGCTCGCAGACAGCCGTGTGTTCCTCCGGTGGCCAATCATCGCGCCTCGTTGCCAACATCTGCCTCCACAATCACTGTCCACAAATCATTGCAATGGAGGGTAGGGACTTCTCATTTAAAAGTTTGCCTGGGAGCTACAGTGAGAGCGCGCGAGTAGTAGTAGTTTTAGTAGTTTTTACTGCCATAAGATTGGACATGTAGCTTTGGATTGTTTTAGTCTTAAACGCAAGAAGAAGAGGCAGGTAAATAAACAGAAAATGGCAGGATCAACAAAAAGTGCAGGGTTTGTGAAAAAAATTTCCCCAAGACTGATGACTTATCAGCCTTTTATCTTTCCTGGTATCGTATCTCTGGACAGTGGTAATAAGACACCTCAGCCAGTCCTTATGTTGCGTGACACTGGAGCTGCCCAGTCTTTTATTCGTGAAGGGGTGTTGTCTTTATCAGAGGGGTCATTCACTGGATCTTATGCACTTTGCCAAGGGTTAGACATGACATATGTTACAGTTCCCTTGAATGTCATTCATATGACTTCAGATTTGGTAAATGGAAATGCCATAGTGGGTGTTCGGACAGAGCTACCAATGAAAATAAAAAAAAGGCCAATAGGATGTTGGGGTATATCTCCAGAGGTATGGAGTTTAAGTCAAGGGAGGTAATGCTAAGATTATACAATTCCTTGGTGAGACCTCACCTAGAATATTGTGTACAGGTTTGGTCACCATATCTTAA